AAAAAAAGAAATAAAAAATAAATAAATAATAATAATAAATAAATAAAAAAAATTTTGTCCGTGGCATATGGAGCATATGGAGTTGGAAGAATCATTGTTGACAATTTTCCTATTCTCCTGGCATAGTGCTAATAATGGACTAAATCAAAATGGCTCAATTAAATTCTAGTGCTTCTTCTATTAGTGAAGTTTTTAGAATAAAATATATCAAACGACGCAACGCACCTTGGGTCGCTATGGAAACAGCCTCCTTGTATAATTACAAAGGTAAGGTCTGCGTACAACTGACCCCCCAGACCCCAACCTGTTGGGAATATACTGGGTATGTTGATGTTGATGTTGATGTTGAATAAATAAATAAAATTAGGCTATATTTCTATTTAAGGTGTTCCAAAGAGATCCTGTTGTCATATCTCAATTTCCATCTTGAAAATACAGCGTCACAAAAAGAACTATTACAAAGAACTATTACAAATACGATTGTGTATAGGGGTTTCATGGAAAACTAGTCTTGCACTATGTGAAATGACTATAAGCCTATCATAAGAATTAATATAAAACTGTGCACAGATCTAAGCCTTGAGTAAATGTCTTTTGACAGGGTCTTGATGATCTTATTAGTCTTTTCCGGCGACCCACTTCCCGCAAAGTCAAAGCAGCCTGATTTTGGAGGTAGATTAAGATATATTCTTACCGGCACACCCTTCGGTTCATATACTCTACATTTTTTTGTAAAGCTTAAAACCGATATAGATTTTAGTCAAGTCCTGAGGTGATGTGGACGAGTCTAAGACTGATGTCGTTAAGTTTTTAGCATTTTCAGTAGGAGATCCTTATTTATTGCCCTTTTTCCGCTCTCAGTTGCTAGCAAAAAAGTTTTGTTTAGCCTAGCTTGTAATCTCATTTTCTTTTCTTCAAAGCAATTTTTCATGTTAGTTTCTGAACTCAGAGAAACTTATCTGTAACACACGATAAGCGCACTAGAGTTGGATTCTAATTGTATTCGGGATTCAGCTCTGATGTTCGTTGAAAAGTGAAATGGGGCAATGTGACCTGATGATTTCAGTGCTCCATTTTCCAATAGAATTTTGATCAAATCACTTCCCACTTTTGTATTTGTCTTTCTTTCTTCTTTCCTGTATCGACATTTGGTACCCGATAGAATGTAGGGGCAACAAACCATGCAACCGTGTTGTGTTTGTGTTCGACTAACAGTGTTATTCGTATTATTATTTCTTTTAATTACATGTATGATAATAAGTCTATTTAGTTAGATTTTCTATTGTGTATTTGTTGTAGTGTCTACTCATTTATTTCTATAGCTGTGACGTGATTCCGTACGCACGAGGTAGAACGTTTTCTACCTTTATTCTGTTTGTTTTTTCTCAGAGAAAATTGCAAAACTAGTCCCATATGATTGAACGAGTTGCAAATTTAGTCCCATAAATTGTAAAAATCGTCAACATGGGACCTGGAGAAGTGTTGGCAGCCAGTAGAGTAAAACTGTGGTTCCATTGTCATTTAATGGTGGAAAAAAAAAAAAAAAGATTGGAAGTTTGATTACTGTAATTGATTGAGTTTGATTAATTCCCATAAAAAAAGTTAAGTGATATCCTTTTGATAAAAAAAAAGTATATTAATTTGTTTGGTTCATAATTAATAACTACTAGTACATAACCCGTGCAATGCATGAGATAATAGTATTAAATGAGTTATTTTATAGAGTTTGTCCTTTAAGTAGTTTGTGCGATACATGAGACACAGATAATAAATGAGTAATTTTCATATGGCTTGTTCGTTAAGGAATAAAAAATAATAGAGTCGAATCATCTATTTTTCACGTTTTTTTATTAGCGTCATTTTTTTTGTCGGGAAGTTTAACCTGTGCTGTAGCCCGTAAATTTAATATAATATCCCGCCAACATATAGTAATATAAATTTGATTTTAGTATATATTTTTATTCATTGATATAAGAAAAAAAAAACAATTATACTTATTATTGTTCCTCGTATATGTCCATTGCATATAGAGCTAGAAGAGTCATTGTTGACAATTCTCTTGGCATAGTGCTAATAATGGACTACATTAAAATGACTCAATTAAATTCTAGTGCTTCTTCTATTAGTGAAGTTTCTAGAAAAAAAAAATATATATATATTCAAACGACGCAACGCACCTTGGGTCGCTATGGAAACAACCTCCTTGTATAATTACAAGGGTAAGGTCTGTGTACAACTGACCCCCCAGACCCCCCAGACCCCAACCTATTGGGAATATACTGGGTATGTTGATGTTGATGTAATGTATTGTTCCTCGTATAAAACTCAATTATTCGTTTCTTATAAAATTGATTGTAATATTATATCATTATTATTATTTATAAAAATTATAAATGCAGTCTTCCTCTTCTTTTTATTTTGTGTATTAAAAATATTTAATGTACATTAATTTTTTTATTAATGTAATTAATTTAAATATATGTAAATAAATTTAAAATAAAACATTGTATACAAATATTTTACAAAATATACACAAATGTGTTTAGATTT